TCCAGGCTCAACACCACAGAAAGACTCATGCATCAGCCCTGCTGGGAGGCACAGAGGTGACATATCCATGCCAAGGCCAGAAATGCAAATCCAGATCAGTCTGGAACTCTTATGATTTCTGTCTGCATTACTGCATTGGAGCAGCTTCCAGCAATGTGAATCACAGTTCAAAACCATCCTCTACAAATGCAGATCAAAAAGATTGTTATTGCCCCCCAAACCCCCTTTCACTCCATGTGCAGCGTGATGGAGGTTGGTGCATACCAGGTAGTCTGGGAGAGAGAGATATCATGTCCAGTGAGGAAATCTTACGGGCCATGCAGCTTTGTGATACCACAGCTGTACAAGGATTTTGCGGTGCCATTCAGCCCTTCTCCCAGTGGCCTGGATTCAGCAGTTTGGCTGGGTGCTGTATACTACATGTCTTTGAGTGAGTGATTCACAAACTCCTTGAAGTCTCCAGCTAATCCAGCAGGAGCACAGCTGTTTATACTTTTATCTTGCTGTTTTCTTTTTCTTCGGGGTCAATCTTAAAATGAAACTTGCCTTAAGAAGCAGAGAGTAATGTGGGAGCCTTTCTGGTTCTGCACTTACTGGAATAGGTACAATCATTCGTATTTTGCCCCAAACTCAGTGAAATAACTGAGCATTTTCTAGACAGCTGCCGTGTCTAATCACACTTATTTGTGTTTAAATTTTGACGTATGGTTCCCATTTCTGGGACGCCTTCATGCCATCTAATGGACACAACATTATTTCAAAATTGTGGACACAGGCAGAAATACTGCTTGACATTAGACTGATTCTGAAACAAGGTAACCTTATTTAGAGTTAATTATGACCCCTTGATGGGAGCTGGCATAAGAAGCCCTAAGAATATTTACAAAATTGGGATGTTAGTCCAAGGAACATTTATTGGTCTTGAAATAAGCCCACATCTTTTTTCTTTTTTCTTTTTTTGTTCAGTTTGAGAGGAACAAGTATAATTGAATTGGCAAAGCATTCTCTCTGACATTGATTTGTACAACTTTACCTTACCTTTTAGAAAAAGTCTCACATGTTATTGATTTGAAAATTCATTGTGAATGTTTTAAGATCTGGTTTCTGTCTGCTCTGGGAAAGAGAAAGAACAACATGCAAAATAGTACAGTGTAAAGTACAGGTCAGGAGCAGAACACAACATGTGATGTTTTTCTGCTTTTAAACCCAATGTTTGGCTGTATGTATTCCCAGAGTTTGTTGTTCCTGTTGACTTATTTCTCTCTGCAACTATGACAGTTATGACAGGGGCACAAGCTACCTCTAGACTAATTTATGTGTGTGCCCGTGCCCACACAGAGCTCCAGTCTTCAGATGTCAGACAACTCTCTTAAGGGAGGAAAAATCACTAGTCATCTTTGGAAAATATTCTCTTACTTTTGGTTTTAATTAGTGGTGCTCAATTGCACGAAGGCATTATCATTGTATCAACAGAAAAAACCCCACTGACTCTTGAGGTCCAGAGTATCACCTTGCAGCAGAGGAAACCACATCTATATGGCAGTGATCTTTCCCCAGAGACTGAGAATACTCAGCTGCTAGAGATGGGTTTACACTTTGTCTCTCTTGAGTATTTGTTGTCTGTGATGCCTTATTTCCCCTCTATTTTTTTTCCCAAGCAATGTTAAACAGCATGGGACTGGACATGGAGCTGATATGTACATTGGATAGATACAGGCATTAGGATATGGCTTGCCTGAGTGCCATTCAGTAATTCCTGAATTTGAATCATTCATTTTATAAAATAACACCTCCCTATGAAGCGAATCACTTGTGACTCTACCCTTGCAATTGGGATCTCAGGATGGACCAACTCAGAGACTCTGCGGCCTACTCCAGCCTTCCTAAGTAACAGAGCCTAGTCTCATGTTCTCATTACCTCCCTATTCATTATGTTTGTGTTATTTCACAGCTATATTATCTCGTGGTGGCAATCAAGGGACAAGGCAATTGGAAATGAGTCTTTGTGCATTGGAGAGGTATGACATTATGAGATAATTTCTTCAGTACAGAGCAAGAATTGATCAGCACATGTGAAGTTGAAGGGGACACCTGGGCTCAGAGAAACCCCTTCAGGCTATAAGTGTATAAATGCAATGCCATGCAGTCTCCAGGCCTCTCAGGGCCCATATTTTATGGTGTTTTATACATACATCCCAAGTTTATTCTCATTCTGGAAAGCTGCCCCAGGAATGTCTACAATCTGTCATGTAGCACGTTACAGTCGTGTTGTATAAAGCATCCTTCAGCCAGCAAATCTCACCCCATTCCTGTACAAAGACTCCTCTCTGTAGCTGCAGGCTCAGATGGGGCATAGTCTCCCACAGTGCAAATGTTTGCTCACCCTGTGTCTTCATCCCAGCAAGAGCAGCACATAGGCAGGTTCTGCAGGTTTAGACTGTGGGTCTGTGGACCCCATCTGCATCACCTGCAGCATCCTTTGTGGTGGAGGAAAGTCCCAGCAGATGGAGAACTCATCACAGTCCTTTGTGGAGATCCTTTCCTCTGCTCCTTAGGCTTACTTCGGAAATAGGTGACCTGGAGATCTAGTAGCCAATACTCAAAGCTGAGATGAAACCAGGTGACATTTCCTAGGTGACCCTTTGCAAAGAGGAACTGGTGCCCTGACCTGCCTCCTGTGGCAATGTCCATAAGAAGTACAGTGGAAAACCACAGAACATGGTCTGAGAACAGAAGAAAATTGAGCAATATAGCCTCCCTAATTCACACATCTATCCAGATGCCCAGAAGCTAACCTAAGTCCAAAGGGCTGCAGAGTTTTTTTAAGCTGAACAGTTCTTCTCATTAGGGACCAAGGTAGTTAATTGCCTCAGCAAAGAATGACATGTACTGCACCACACTGCTTGCAGAAGTTGCTGATGCCCAGAAGTAAAGATAATACTACATTCCCTCTATTCTCCAGCCTCTCCCCTGAGAATTCACATCAGTAACAACCCATTAGATCTCAATACTGTTTCCAAGAAATGTGTCTAAAACAGCATTTCTTTGGAGGTAACAAAAATAAATGGGACTCAAAAGAAAAGCAATTTACCTAGGAAACTCTGAGAGCTCCAAACATCAGCATATCTCAGCTTTCTTGGGATTTTTTATTTTTATTCTGCATTTTCTAAATGGCATGGATTCAGTCCCTGTAGATGGGCCGTGACGGTGCACATCTGGTTTTAAGGTTAAGGAAATAGCTGACTGAATCGATACACTCAGCACAGCTGACTGGAGTAAATAAAAGAGGATTTGAAGGAAGCCTTTTTTCCCCTAGGTGGATGGATCCACCTTCAGTGCTGTTGCAATTGCCCTGGAGGCAGTGGATTGACATGAGGTGGGGAAGAGCGGTCAGTGTATTTCTTCATAAACTGAGGTTGCTTGTTCTCTGTCCATCATAACTGTGGTTTTGTGAGAACATAGCTCTTAAAAAGCAGCAACCATTTGCCTCTTTGACTCTGTCAGTAACAGAGAAAGCTGTCAGGCTGGGCCCTCTGCAGAAAAGCGGGACTGACCCACTGGGTAAATTGTTTCTGTCATGGCACTCCACAATCACACCTAATGATTCTGCATGGAGCAGTTGTCAAACATGAGCTTCTTTGTTCTCACAAACCCACAGGAAAGAATGGGGGAAATGGTAGGAGAAAGCTGTGTGTCCAAGAGTGTGGCAGTGGGAGGCACTGGGGGTTCAAACCTGGCAGCAAATCCTGCCTCAATGTAAATGAACTGCAAAACTCCTGTGGAACCCTGGGGTTTGGGAGGTCACAGGCTCATGTTTCTCTGCTGAAACATTTTAGGCACAGTTCAACTGTACAAATTCTCTGTGGGGACATGTGAAAAAAAAGTCCCAATCACCTCTTGCAGTGATAGGGCAGCCAGAGAGTGGCACCCGAAGAGTTTGTGGGAATGCACGATGGACCCGACCTGTCAGGATGATCCCCTGGGTGGGCAAAAGGCTACAAGTGCCAGTCTACTGCTCTGTGTGTTTGCCACATGTGTATGAGATTCCCACAGAGCAACTGGTTAGCCGTAACCATTCCAGCAATTTCTCTTTAAGCTGATAATTGAAGGTAAGACAGAGACCTTTAAAAAATACCTCAGTTTTATTTGTTGTCTTTGTTCTTCTTGTTCAGATCATACAGAGTCTTTTAGGCCTCTGTTTTCTTTCAAAGCCTGTATCTATCACAGCTGTGAAGTTACTGTCCTAGGAGTGGTTTTTCCCAGGCAGTGGGAAAGTTTTTTTCTTAGGCACCTCATTGTCACTTCATATTCTTGGGTACTACTTAAGAGCAGGATCTGTTAGCTTTATCGCAAATCCCTTTATTACATGGCAGGATGGTAGGTCTATCCCACTAAAACATTTCAGGAACGGCCTGCAAACATAAATGCTGGTGCAAGGTTTGCTCTGAGCCATCTCTGGGGCTGTTGCTCTCACTGCTGCAGCCTAGATCACTTCCTACAAATGCAACCTACACCTTAAGTTTTATCCTCTGTCCTTGCTGCAGCCAGGTCACTGTCTCAGTATAAAACCTGAGCAAAAACAAGGTAGGTGGATTTTTTTCTACTGCCTCGGAACTGCTGCTGCTCTGTGACCCTAAACCAGCACAGCTGGGCCTCATTTAGCTAATTTGACCTCTCCAGAGAGGCCTCTTGAACAATCTCTTGGGTAATTCTGGTGCAAAGCTGTAGATTCTCTCCACACCAAGGGAGGCCAGGGGCTTCATTGTGTATAATTACACTCCACTTACAAAGAGCACATGAAGAAATACAGATACAACTTGGTTTGGACGTGTGGTGGTGTCTCCAGTTTCTGCCACAAAGAGCTTTTGGCTTACCCTTGGTTTCAAACCTGTGTCACCTGAAGCCCCCAGGCAGCATCCCAGCAAGGCTTTACCTGCCTGCTGCAGCAGCTGTGCTCCCCCCGCCCCGAGGGCTCATGTCCTGCAGGTGTGAAGCAAAGGTGTCGGTGGGAGCTGGGTTCCTGCATGGAAGGTACTTGGTTGTGTGTTGTTTGTTTAAAAACTTGGGTTTGAAGGGGAGTCTCTTCTTAGGTATTGCTTTTAAGGCCTGTGTTTAATAGCCAGAGTGCTTCTGAATGTTTAGAGGGTGACAGAGACTATCTGGAGGCCCAGCAGAAGAGGAGCAGATGCCCAACGGCTGGCTCTGGTAAGAGTCCCACTGAAACCTGTATTTCTTGGTACTAATTAGGTGGGGCTGCCTTTTTTCAGCTCCACCAGCCCTAAAGACTGGACTTAACCAGATTCCCTCTCTGTGCTGTGAGAGGAGCAAATCATGTTATTAAACTGCATTTAAAACTCCAGAAATAATAGACCTAACAATTTAAAAAATGACCCTCAGCAATGGGTTGCTGGTCCTTCTGAAGGATTGTATGCAAGTGTGAGGTTTGTGTGTTGTCTGAAAAAACGTAAGACTGCAATTATATCATTTAGTAATGATTTTTTTCTCCCCTAGAATATACTCTTCTTTGGGAAGAGACATGGAGGAAATGTCTGACAGATTTGCATGACAGAGAGCGGTGCTTGCTTGGTAAGTGAATTTAGCAAACAAAGAGTGATGGGTGTTCTCATTGTTGCCCGTTAGTCTCTATTAACAGTGAAGGTTAATCTCTATTTGCTTTCTATGGCCTGTTTGCTACTGAGTTTTCTCTCTGCATTTCTGCTCGGAGCATTTGGCCCAGCATTAAGAGAATGTATCTGCTATTAATGGAAATTGTGTTTCTGAGTGACTACCAAGGAGAGACAAGGAAGGAGTTTTCCAGACTGCTAGTATTTCAGCGCGTGATCTGGACCAAAACAGGCTGCCTCTCTGCACTTCGATTGATTACTCTTGAATAAAGTGGACTCTTAATGCTTGCCCACAGGGGTGTTAAAAAATGTAGAAAGTATTTGTAAATTAAAATGCTTGAATGAAAGGCTCTGGTATGTGTAATCGTAGAGTATCATGTTAAGTAGGAAGGCAAACTGTCAGGGGAGTTCCTGGCGTTACATGGAGCCTAGCTTGTCTCACTTAAATAGATTTAATAAGGTCTGCTGGAATTGAAGAAAGGTTGCATTTAAACATATTTATTTGAATTTACATAAGCATACATCAAAGAAAAAATAATCCCGGCTCTTGGTTACTTCAGTCTAGTTTTTGATAGTTAATACTTCATCCTTTCCATCATATCATAAAGTTTCTTTTCATGGTCTCAGAAGAACATAAGGATTGAGTGAAAGGAGCTGAGCTTGTTGCTCTGTGGGACTGTCTGCAGGTTCAAGGTAGAGCTCTGTGTTTCACTGTTTTTTCCATGCTTGTGTTATGTCTGACAGTCCAGTAGCCTTAGAAAGACAAATGACAAAGCCTAACAGAACAGTGATACCTTATTTGGCCTTACCTTTCAGAACTAAAAACTGACCTTGATAAAGGTAGAGGAAACTGCCACTTTGGGAATAGGTAATCATTCAGTGGTCAGTGCAGGGCTAAATAACCCTCTTGCCCCTTTGAGCTGAGTTTTATGCTCTTGGTATGAATGAGAGCAGAAGATGAGTGCTACGTACTCAAGGAGCTGGGAGTTATTAATGAGCAGGAGATGACATGGGCTTCCTCGTGTCCAAGGGAAGCTGGGCGCCAAAATGACTCTGGAGCACAGGTATCTGTATGATCACCATCCCCAGCAGCAGGAGGTTCAGGCCAGCAGCCCTGTCCTGGTTGAGCTTCCACTGTGGTATGTAGCTACGACTTGCATGTTGGCCTGCCTTAATTGGGGCATTTCCATTGGAAAGGAACTTGCGGATCTCTTTGTCTTGCTGGGAAATGACTGGACACCAATAATTCAATCTTCCTGTGTCTCAGTTTCCCAGCTAATAAAATGGGGCTTCTCATCCTGCTCCCCTCTACTTACACAAAGCTTTATTCCTCCTGACAGTGAGCATTATGTTCTAAGAACCAGCCCTTAGCAAAGCCAACTTGTACATCTTGGGTGACTTGGTCTCATCTGAAAAGCCAAGAAGAGGCCTTGGCAATTGCAATCGGAACTTAAAGGGCAGTCTGTGGTCAGAAACAAGAGCGTGTTTTGTTAATACAAGCTACAGCCAACACTGCCAGCTGTTTCCACACTTTAGCAAGTGTTTCCTACTCAAATAGAGAAAATGGTTGATGGGAACTGAACCAGATACAGCCATTCTAGCTAATAGTGAAGAGTTACACCCATAAAGAAGTTGAAAAAGACGCTAGATGTCTCCAATGTAGTAAGTACCAAACTGCCAGATGTTTGGGATCCTTTAAGTCATCTAACAGGCCTTTCAAGGCGATGTTACTCTTGAGTATCATGGCTCACCTGAAAAAGCATTAAAGTGAACTAATTTTAGCTTTGAATTATGAGATTTTTCTCCAACAGAAGGTGTCCCTGAGGACATGAGAGTAGACTTTTATTTCCAAAACGTTGCCTTTGTATATTTTTAACGGATCATCTGGATGAAGTTCTAATGGCTGGTTAAGACTGTCTGATTTATAGCAACAGCTGTTCACCTTTTGTAGATGGGGAGATTCTTGGAGATACAAAACACATTTATGAACTTGATATTCCACACCAAGGGTCAGGTTTTCTTGCCTCATTTTTACACAGGTGTAAATCCAGATCGGTTCCTGTGAAGTCAGTGAAATTGCTCTGTGAAAGGCACAGAAATCAGAGTTGCAGGAAATGGCAGATCAGTTATTTCTTTCTCCAGTAGACTCAATTTTAGAACCCACAGCAATTGGAAGTGATTAGGATTGAGAAATGTACCTAAGTAGTGACAGGGTGTTCCTGCTGAGTGATGGAGAAAAATGCTGATTCTTGCACAATGCCTGGGGAGCCATTTCTTCATATGGCTATAAAAGATGGCAATCAGAGAGCCCAAACTTATGAAGTAGAAAAATGAAAGAATTATGAGAGGGGAGATACATTGGGTGTCCTATTGTAACTCTTTAATATTTTAATCCCTGTATTTCAAAAGGTAGGGTTCCTACTGCTGAAACTTCCTGCAAAAATGTCTTTAATTTTCACTGTTGAAGTCTGGAAAAATAGTTCACCACTCTAGGTTTAAAAAAAATAATAATAATTTAAAAAATGCTTTCAGACAGTTGTATCAGCATTTTTTTCCTCTTCAGATCTTTTTATTATTTTATTTACATTTCGGGAAAAAAAAAAAAAAGCTTCAGAATTCTCCATGACATTTTCTTGTTTGGGTTGAGCAGACACTTTTTTTGTTTTAAAAATAATAAATATTTTACAAAAAGAAAAGAAGTTCAGTGCCTCCAGATCCTACACAAGCTCCAGCCCCAGCTTATCTTTGTGGACTTGCTTTCTTAAAACAAAGTATTGCTGGAGCAGTAGTATCCAAGTGAACAATTAAGGCCATATAACTTTATTATTACCAAATCTGTATTTCACACATTCACACTGTCTTCCCTTCCAGCTACTCAATCCACCTCTATGTTTTCCATAAAATACTCTTAGAGCTGAGCTGTTGATGCCAGCTCCGATCTAAAACACTGTGGTGATTAAGTGTCCTCCATATTCCACTAAATGGAATAAATAACATTATTCAGTATGCAATTGTCTGGCTTACTGCACTGAGTTTAATATTTAATATGATGTAATGGAGCTTTATTTCCAGCTACTGGATGCCTTCCCTTAATTTGCCTCTTCAGTCATCAGGATGCAATAGCTTTGCTTAAACTAATGTTCCACCTGAAGTGCAGAGAGGAAATTCCCCACTAAAACTGAGGCAGAGATTAGACATGAGCAACTGCTTTGGGTTCCCAGAGTAGGCTCACGGTGCTCCAGACCATGGTAGGAGTACAGATGTGGACCATGCTGATGTCATGTCATAACCGTGGTAACTCAGGCTTGTTCCTGAGTGCATGTAAAGTTTTGTGGCTCATTCAGCTTATGGTGGCCCCATGGTCCTGAGTTTCTTGAGAAACAAGGACAGAAGGAGCTTGAACTCCACTAACATTAATGTAAACTCCCAGAGGATCTGCTAGAGGAAATGCTGTTGCCTTGGATGGATATTTGCTTGGCACAGTTATAATGTGTAATCGAAAAGTGGAGTTAAATCAGAGACCTGGGATTCCTCCCAAATGAAAATCAATGGGATGAATTCACCCTGGTATCTTCTAAGCAGCCTGGATACAGAGAAAATTGTTCAGAGCTGGCTACTGCATGCCAAAACCTGCAGCTTTATTAATGTAAAATATTCCAGTGTGAGAAAAGGCAATTCAGGGTTATTCTCTGCTTTGTCTGGTTTAGATCTTAAACTCCTGAGGACAGGGACTGCCTTACAGTGCCTGATGCTGGGGCCTTAATTTTGATCCAACCCATTCAGTGCAGTGATAATGAAATGAGCTCCTTGCAGTAGTTTTGTCTTGTTCTGTAGGCCTGGGAAATAGGCAATCCTCTTGTATAAGCTTTCAGAGTTTTGGCTCACAAAGCACCTGATGATGGAGTTTTATAGCAAATTTTACTGCTGGTGAGTTTCTGTTAGCAGAGAACTAATCTGAATGCATGTATATGTGGAAAACACAGTTTACATCACCTGGCAAAATTATACTATAATTTCTCATCCAATTCAGGGATAGAAACAGGATGATTTGTATGATCTCCCTGGCCAATCAGAAGCATTTAATTGGAAAGGTTAAAAATTCCATCTAAAATGAGTGTGAAGCGTTTTTAAAAATGCCAAGAAGTTATTTTCAGAGTTGACCTGGATTTGCACAGAACTGGTAATGCAAAGGCAAAAAACAGCTGGAGGTGTAAGTGGGAAGAGAACAGAGAAGGCTTCTCAAGGGGATTTTTTTTCTTGAAAACAGATGAGATACTGTTGTTTCAGATATCTGATGAACAAAGAAGGAAAGCATGAACCTGGGAGCTGGCAAGACAGCCAAGTGAAGTGTCTGCCAGCATTAGAATGATCCAAACCTCTGGGCCTACGGCAGAAAAGGATTTTACCACTGGTTATCCAGGGACCAGGCTGTGATGGGTGAACTCTCATGTGTCAAAACACACCTGAACTGCTTTTCTCTGTTGGATACCCATATCTTTGCCCTCGATGCAAATTTGTTCTTAACGTGGCTCCACTGGAGCTTTAGTCTTTGACAAGGGTATTTTAAATGTCCTAGGTAAGGTTCTTCATGCAGAGAAAGGAAATTTGAGATATGTAGTTCTTCCATATTGCCTCATATTTGTCACAGAAGATATTAGAAAGCTGGCAGTTTGGCAGCAGGAGGCTGATCAAACCTGAACTCGTAAGAAAATCGGTAGCTCCAGTAGGATTGTTTATGGAGGATTCCTGATCAGAATATATAAGGCTACTTCAGTCTAGCCCTTGATTGTAATTCAGATAGACAGGGAAGTTGCAAAACTTAAGTGCCGCTTCCTTGAAAGGTCTTTTTCCTTTCTGCCTTAGGAGATCATACAACATCTTGCCCTGGGCTTACAAACTATTGGGTTACACAGATGCTTGCACTGGATGTGTTAGGAGATGGTGTTGGCTTTTTCCTTTTTGCAATCATAACAAAATGTATGTTCACAGCCGCATCTTTTCCATAAAGTGAAATAGTTCTTGGAAAACTTACGTTTCTAGTTGTGCCAGAGACTCTGTTTTCTGTTGCTGTGTTGCAGTACATCTTAACAGCATCATTCTCTCAGAAGTAGCTTTGTGTTACTGGTCTCTAAAACTCCAAGAAAACCTACTCTGCAGCCAGCACTAAGGTGTACAAAAATCCATCAGGGTTTCAATCCAAGGTGTACCTGGGAAGTGTGAGCGTGATGCAGCATTCCTTGTGCATGGTCTGTTTCTTGTAATAGTTACATTGGAGTCTGGAAAAAATAGCATCCATCATTACTGCCATCTTTCTTCTACTCTTCTCATGTGCCCCTCTCCACTGCTCTCTGCATTTATAGCCCCAAATTCAGCCAGGGCCAGAATTGTTCCAGAAGTACAGTGTGTTCGTGTATTGCCTTGCATGCGAGATGGTAGAACGTTGCCACTATTTGACCAAGTTTCGAGAGCTTTTCACCAAGTTCTGGCTGGTCACTGTGGCAAGGTCAAAGCACTGGTAGAGACAAACTTGAAGATGTCCTGTGCTGCTTCTCAGTGAGTATGGTTGATTGTCTTCAAAGCATCAGCACTTCCTGCAGAATGGAAACAAGGTTTTTCATAGGAAGCATCCAAATGCCTTTGCATTTTGGCCTTTGTGTAACTTTTTTCAGTCTTCCAGCTGAAAAACAGAAAGCTTCTCAGGCTTGAGTATGTGTATCTGTTGGTACTTCACAATTGCTGAGGGCTAAAAAGTGCAAGAAAGTCATGAGATGTGTGTTAGGAGGTGGTAGTAGTAGATGAACATGCAGCAGCCTGTTGCTTTGAGCCCTTCTCTCCTGTTCTCCAAAAGAAGCTTGATGGCAATGTTGTTTTCCCAGCCACAAATGAAAAAATGCACTGCTTCATGCTGCCTGAACTTTATACTAACTTTACTGTAGTTGGACAGGTTAATTCATCTTGGCCTTGGCTTTTTTTAATGCTGCTTGGTATATATTCTTTTCAGAGAAAAAACAACCTGTTTTTCCAATCTGATGCAATGTTTACATTTAAAAGAGGGGAACATTGTATGAAGTCCAGATCATGTTCTGAATTGCCTCCCTGTATTGGGATGCCAGTTTTGCCATGTACCAATCAGCTCATGTCTTTTATAGGTGCAGAAACTATGTGAAAATCCCCGGAGTAGCAATTTGGTGAGAGCTCTTCTACCATTATGTTGCATTATAAGGCATTTGAACACTGCTTTTGTCAGCAGTGACAGTAATCTCCACTGAAAGCTGAGCAAGGGAAAATGCCAGGCCAGCTGGACAGAAGGAACTTTTTGTACCTGCTAGGTTAAACGGGAGGGAGGGAAGCACTGGGATGAAATGGAACTGAGGTTGTGCTTTAAAGGCTTTCTCACATAATACAGCTTTCAGGTTTACTTGAAGGGCAGGACACTGCACCACTAGGGTTGCTCCTAGTACATTCTGGCTTGGTCCTTTTGAAGGACAGCAAGAGCAAATTACTTTGGGTCCCTCTTGGAGCATCTCTAGGATGTGTGGGGCTCTTTAACTCCATAGAAGCAGCTTTTTTGAAGTTTGCTGCTTAACAGTCTGTGCATGTGACAAGGCAATTACATTGGCCCATGGCACTACTGGGTTCCTAGGCCATCTTATAAGCCACAGGAATGAAAAGCTCTGTGCCACGCAGGTCACTGGAGTCCAGTTGGTTGTGTTAGCTACCTATCTCAAATAACAGCAAGAACAGATGACATTCCAGTGGAAACTTCTTTACAAGGAAATACTTCAGATTCCAGATGTTCAGGATTTTTCTGCATATTTGTAAAGTTAAAATGTCCCTTTAGGACTTGGTCAGCATAGTTATCAGTACTAGGTTTTTGCTTTTAAACCATATTTAATTTTTTGTGAATGCTGTGTGACTTGTGTGCTAGTTGGTCATTCTCTACACTAGAGCTCAGAAGCCCTTGCTAGTGACAAGAGAAACTGAAATTGCAGCAAGTCAATCTCACAATGCATTCGTAGCAGGTTAAGTGATGTGTGTAGTACTTTTAACCAAGTAACAGAGCCAGTACTTCTCTTCCCACAGCCCTCCATTTGGATCATAGCTTATAACAGTGAAAAAGTTGACTGTTTTGTCCCTGAGCTGGCTGGGAAAAGGGTTGGTGTGTATGCTTGCTAATTAGGAAAAGGTGTTTTATGTGGCTTCCTGTACTTGCTGTCCTTATTACACGGATTATTCCTCTCTAGGTTTGGGAACATGCTCTGAGCAATGAGTCATAACACACATGAGACTTCCCTGGGGAGTCAGATGCAGCCAGCCTTATCCAGAGCATCAGCTGTGCCTTTCTTCTCTTTCCACAGACAAAGCAAAGGCCCAAGGGAGCATCCTGCCTCCTGCAAGAAAGGAGCTTTTCCTTTTAAGAACAGCTACCTAAAGACATATCTGGGTTTTGATCTATTTGGATGAGAAAATCTCATTTCTTTCCACAGACTCTGCCCCACTTCTGCCTTAAAACCATCACTGGCACTCCACAGCATGGCCTAAAGCTTTACTGCCCGTATCAGGAAATAACGCTCTGTTTCCTTTGCATGTCTAAGGTACCAACATCCAACTTCTACATTTGATTGCTTTTGTAGATGCTGTGAATCTGGCCTGGTGGTCTTTCAAGTGGTGCTGAGTCTGAGGGGCTGGAGAAATTTGATCAGCATCAGAACTCAGATAACTTTTCTCTTGGTTTAGCATATTTTGCAGTGTACAGCAGCCAGACGTGATTTATCTTTGCACACAGACCCAGACTATTAGCACAAACATATCAGTAAGTTCCATTCCTTGCACAGCGTTTCAAAAGTGTCCTTAATGCTACAGTAAATTACCCCTGTGTGTGTCCAGAAGGGGATGGTTCAGGCCTCATCACATGTTCAGCCCTTGTCTTTGCTCATTTGTGCTGGCTTCTTTATGTGTTAATGGGGTAGTTAAGCTGCCCAGTTCCTGCTCCCCCAGTGCCCTTCTTTGGAGCTGTGGGGGGCAGTAGGATCAGGAGAGACCAGTTCCTTTGGCAGGGAGCCTGCCTGGAGTGCAAAATGAACAGCCCACAACCCTCTGACCAGCAGTGCTGTATTCAGGAAGACTTCTCTCTCCACAGGCCTGGTCTACTCTCTTTATCCACCCTCTGATATGATCCTATATCCAGGTACTTAAGAAGACGAAGAAAGAAACAAAACTGAAAGCTGCTATTTTTAAACTCTGCCTTTGGCTCTCTTTGCAGCCCTCTGCTTTTCTCCCTGTGATTCAAACAGTGCTCTTTTGAGAACTAGGCACCAGGGCCCTGCGGTTTCCTGGTACTTGGAACATAAAATCTCCTAGTTCTTCTCTCGCAGCAAGCTTCAGAGGCTGGGGAGTGATTGATATTTTCTATCGCTTCATTAATAGTCACGGCACAGTAGTTTCCTAATCTGTTTTTGCACTGCTTTTTATTTTGAATAATTTGTCTTCCAAATTTTCTCAGCCCTCCATGTCACACAAAGCGAACGCTGTTTGCTCCCCTCTTGCCTTTTAACCAGTGGCTTGAGACCTTCAGGAGCTGGTGAGGCAGAGCTGTCTGAGAGCTGGGAAGCTGGGAGACCTGCCTCAATGAGCTTCCTCATGTTTGTTTTAACATACTTGGCAAATACACTGAGAGTATGTCCCAGAGTGATCTATTGCTGGGATAAATTGGGGATAACTACCACAAGGGAGAGTCTCCTCCTATTTCTGTGCGGGCTGATACTGGCACCCATGGGGTAAGTGTTGCAATCCTGTCTGCAAGGGCAGAAGACAAAAGATAAGCCATGCCCCAGACAACCTGCAGTCTGTGCAGGCAAAGGGGGAGAGAAGCGAAGGCAGAAGGTAAATTTCTGGTGGTAAATGAGGTGCTCGGGGAACAGGAACTAAGCAAATCCCTGGCAGAGAAACAGGGCCAGAGAAAACCTGTGATGGTTTCTGCTGACCATGCCCTTCCCCACCACATCTTCAGGGATAGACCTATCCCAGATAAAGGCAGAAAATTCAGTGGGACCCATTTGCCAAGATGGGGGCAGGGGGGGAAATGGGGACAAGGGCTAGCTGTTGTGAGCCAACTCCTCGCTACTGCACTGTTCAAGCTACATCTCCTCATTGCCTTGTAAACACCTGGAACCTTTACCTGTAAATGATCTGGCTTTCCCAGGTTAAACAACTCGCTGTGCAGCTGGGACTCTCTGGCATGTCTGCAATAATCCTGAACTCACTGTAAATTGCTTTTTCATTCAACCCAACTTGGAAAAAGGCAGACAGGCTGTAGTCTAAACAGCCCAAGAGTCTGTATTTGCTTTGTTCCTTACGTGTTCCAGCATACTCTGCTCCCCTGTGATTTAAAACAATGTGTCTTTGTGCTTATCTTCTGGGTTTGGCAAGGCAGTTTTTACCTCTTAGTTTTTGTCTCAACAGGAGAAATTGCTGTCTAACTGATCCTTTGTGGACTTCCGACCAAAACCATCCAGTGCAACATATGGTAAGTCATTCACAGTTTTATAAACTCAGACCCTCAACTATAGCTATTTATGGGTGGAAACTGGCATATCAATAGTTTCTTTTTTGTTACAAGCGTAATGAATTCTGGCCTATGTTATTATGACATCTCCGTTTGGGTTTCTCCAGCCCTTCATTAGACTGTAATGCTTTTGACTTTACATTTGTTGCTTCTGGTGCCTGTCATAGCAGCTTAGCACTGTGGTGTGTCAGCAAGGGAGGAATCTTGACCACACTCCCCTTGCTTCAAAAAACACAGGCCCTCATTATTTATGTCAAAGGAGAAGGTTTGCACCCTGATGTTAGATGTAGCAACAGCGTGTGAGGACGTGGCTTTGGATGATCCTATCTGTCACTGCACAGATGTATCCATTCTTAGTCGTGTCACTCTGAAGAAAAATAAGTGTGAGACAGAAGATAAATGAGTATGATTTGTGGGATGGCTTTGTTTAAGTTCTCTTGGCTGTAGTCATCAGCAGTGGTGCCTGCAGTGGAGAATGGTTGGGACTCAGTGCAACCTCATCAGGTCTGAGGGATGGTGTCCAGTGGTAGAGAGAAACTGTTCTGGCAACCTCTGTGCTAGTGCAGAGAGCAGGACTGGTTTTCCTACACCAGCATATTTCTATCACTGCAGTTATGCAGCTTTCAGTGTGATATTGCTCTGTGCTATGGTGTTGTACTAACACCTAGGACAATTGTGTACCCTAATTCCAGCACATGTTTATGAGGTAAAACTTTTCATAGTTGTTTGGATCATATGAATTTCCTCTGTGTATCTGCTTCTGGTATCTCAAAAATGGTTATCATGCATTGCAGGGGTCACCTGGAAACTGGGTTGACTCTGAAAGGTGAAACGGTACCTGTGCTTGGGAGACTGACTCGCATTCCTCTCTGAGGAAGTACTTCCAGGCCACTTTTGGGAGAGTGTTTCTGGGTTTGCATCCTCATTGACAAAGGAAGTCCCCAGCCTGTTAGACTCTTCATCCTGTACCTCCTGCTAGCATTGCTGCATGCACCATGCATATTATGCAAATGTTTTTTATTACTTCCAGACACAAGCTCTTCTTGAGTTTCCTTTGTGGTTAATGCAGCCCATCTGTAGTTTAAAAAAGCAATGTTCAACTCTCTTGCTTTTGGTATTTTGTGTAGTGCTACACTCAGGTGACCACTGTAAATGTGTTGCTCTCACGTTGCACCTGATTTTTCCAAAGTCTGGAGCTTCGGAATCTCTTAGTTGTTCCAAGATGCACCTACTTTCTCAAGGTTCTTTATTTTGGGATCAGGAAGAAACAGTGACTAAGAGGTTCAAGGGGAATGAGTAAGATGGAGCAGAACAGTCTATACAGATAGCAGTATGGCTTGGGGCTCTCACGACTTCAAGGGCCACCTGCTGCAAGGAGACACAAGGAACTCTGGACCAAGTGAAGTGAGGAGAGCTTACTTCCAAGGAGGCCTGATGTGTTATGCTGCACTAAAATGCATCCAAATGTCAGTCCAGCAGCCATCTCTCCAAATTCTTCTTTGCTGCAGCCAAAAACATATCTAGAGGGAGATGTTCAAATGCAGCTGTTCTGCCTGATAGTTTTCCTTGTTTTGACACAGCCCCTTGCAGGATTAACTCTAAGGAATGGCTTGTTCTTGACCTCAGGCTTTCTTATACAGTGAGGAGCTATAAGGAACTAATATAGTTCCTTACTCTACCATTACACCTTGCAGTGCACTGGAGTACTCGGAGCAAGCCCAGCAGCCAAGAGGAAAAGTGCAAGGACAAAAGCAAGAAAGATGGACCCTTGGTCCTAGTCAGTCCAACTTTCAAACTTTGTTTCCAGGGTAGCATTCTAGGTGCATCTCTGTGAAGTATGGTGACAGAAGTCACACATCTTAAAGCGTGCAGCCTAAACCAAAGAGTTATTATCTTCAATAATTCCCCCCGCTCTATTTTTCTCTTTTTTCTTTTTTTTTTTTTTTTTGGTTTGTTTTGGTTTTGGTTTTTTTAAGGGTCAGAATATGCTAAGGACAGCATTTAGCCTTATATATTGACATACTAACATCAAACATGAGCTGTCTCTTAAAACCAGGGTGTGGAACTATCAGAGACAAAACAAGACTTGGACATTGGCAAGGAATCACTCTCCATGTCTGATTGAGCTAACGTTTCCTAATTGCAACCAGAGAGCTTACCCTGTATAAAAGTTTAAAAACTTTACCTTTTTTCCAAATCATAGTGGTTTGTCCCTGTAAAAGCTATTTCCTCATTGTTCATTCTTCAGAGTAATTACCAACTAGCAGCATTTAAAATTTCTCTTCATGTCCTCTTTTTTCTTTTTTTCCTTTATTTTTATTTTCTTTTTTAATATGTGTCACCATTTCAGCTCTGTAGCCATACTGCTCCTGGGTTAACCAAGCAGAGATGGTCAGAACTCTGCTGTGCTCAGAGTTGGGCCAGGGAAAGGCGGTTACCCTGGCATGGAATTGCCTTTAACCCATGGCCTTCCTCTTTTCTGTTGGTGTCTAGGCTTTGAATCCCACAGCCAAGGAAATGTGTTCTGGAGTCCAGATTTAGTGTTCTGCACTCAGGATAAAACCCTCCCCTCTAACTTTCACATTCCTGCATTTCTGAGTTCTGCCTAGTAGCAGAATTAGAATGAGCAAAATACCACAGGAAAAATGATGCTGAAGGAAGAATTTATTAACTGTCTTACCAGATGCAGAATGGTAGAAAGCATATCCAGCTCAGATATATCTAGCCAAATTTAACTGAAGGTCATGAATCTGCAGAGGTCCAGCAGAGCTTTTCTGACTACATGCCCAATAGATGTGCTCTTGCTTGAGTGTGTCCTATCTATAATGTAGATGGTTTCTTGCTAAACTCACCCTTTTTCCCTTCAAGTCATCCTAATTGAAATTCAGCAAGGTGCTAAGAAACTAAGAGCTTATGTTTTCAAAGAGTGTTAATAGTTTTACAAGTTTCAACTTGGGAAAGCCTGAATCTTGAGACCAAACTTTTCAGTACCTTCCACCTGAAAGTTTGGTGTCTCTTGCAGTGTCTGGGGATTGTTCTGCCGAGTCACTAGTCACTTTGGGACGTGTAGTAGTGAGGTCTTTAGTCCAAAGTCAGGCTGCCCTAGAAGTGTGTGACAGTTTACTCAAGAACAGGGACAGGAAGTTTCTCAGGCCTTGATTTCAAAAGGTAGCAAAACCAATATGATCAGTTTAAGAGTATGTCACATCCCACTGGTCTGTGTGCGTGCTTATCTTTAACGATGTGCTTGCAAAAGATCTTGGATAAGAACCAAAAGGAGAGCTTTGAAAATCCACTCATACAGAATAATTGTATTGAACCTGTGCTGTCAGTTCACAACATATCATCTTAAAGAATAATAAATAAGCAGTCAACATTCTTACAGTAACCTTTCACTATTCAGTACCAGGAGGTGAGGGGACATATGCCTTCCCAGACATCAGGTATGCCTTGGTGGTGGTGGGAGTGTTTAGTTTTGTTTTTAAACTTGACAGTAGCAGTAGGGGGATGAAGTTAAAATGTAATCATTCTGAGTCAAATGGTAAGGCCTAGGAAAACAGATGTGGAGTGTGTGCTATGAGCCAAGATCAACTTCACAAAACTCAAAAGATTAGTTCTACAAAAACTGGAGGAGGGGGGAGCGGGGAAGTCAGAGAAGTCAGTGTTGTGATGGATGGGAGCAAGGAAATAGCTCAGAAAAGTGAAAGAACAACAGAATCTGCAGTAGCAAAATGTTAATTTTCTGGTACCATTATTTTTGTCATAGGTAGGAAATTCTTTCAATAGTATCTGAAGGGTATTAATTACTATCTTCCTCTAATATAAAATGGTGGGACAGAGGGTTTTATTTCTCTGAACTGCTTCTGGACTCATCTCCAGAGCAAAATTGCCCTCCTGTTTAAAATACGAAGCATGCAGAGCTAATCTTTGTCTCTCCTTTCCCTGGGACTTTTTGTTGTTGTAACAACTTTTTAAATTCTTCTGTCAACTAAACACAAATTAAATGTTTCACTTTGGTCAATATTGGCAAAGTATAGCACTTTGAGACCACTGAGACAACCACAAATATTGCAAACCAGTTCAGCACTAGATTGTATTTACCTGTTTTGCTTCTGGCCTACCTTCTGCATCCAGGTTGTGTTTCTTACGGTGCTGCTCTGCATCACATGTGTCAGTCTGTTGGGGACACCCCATCAAAAATCAGGACTAGTCAAGGAGCTAAGAGCTTTTTCCCCAAAGTGTCTATTGATTTTGAGGCATTTAAGCACAGACACCAAATACAATGTCCTTAAAATGGACCAGCTCAGTGCACCCATTTTGAGCCCCTTGATGACTCGTTTCATTGTAGTCAGTCTTTTTCTGCTGACTTCAGAAGAGTGACCTGCAATACAGTTTTAATGACAGCTGTTCAAAGGACCCAATGTTCTCTATCCTATGCCTCTGCCATCTCTGAGAGGCAGAACAAGTTCAGCTAGGCCAGCATAAGTGTAATAAACTCTCTTAAGCAGGTATTGATTTCTACCTTCCAGACTGCCAGAAGTCATGGTGGGATCAGTGAAAGAAGCTTCTCATGACCTGCCTCTTCCAGCTGTTTTGAATGCCTTAGCTGTGCCCTGCCAGAGAGGGAGACCTGTTTCTATCCCCAGTGTCTCATCTGGTTCTCACCATACACCCATCGGGTATGCATGGAGACATGGTTGAAACCACAATGTGTGTCAGTTGTTTCCTGCATGCTGAGCTGTGTTTTGAAGGTTTCAGCTGTGAATCAGAGGTGTCCCCGTGCCACAGGTCTCTTCTCAGCACAGAATGGGTTGCTAGCTCCATCCTCGGCTCGGGCTTTTCAGTTTCCTCCTGCAAGTGCTCTGCCAAAGTGCACCAGCTTCAAGCCCTAGCCAGTCAGGCTGCCCATAACCAAGCAAGCACTAGTTCTTCTGGCACTTTCCTGTTAGCATCAGAGTGTCTC